GCCCATTCCCTTGGAAAATAAAAGGACATGTAAATATTCTCATACCAGGCAGCCGTTTCAATCCAAGCATAATCTCTTTGCGTCTCTCTTGCATGGAGATTCTGTCATCACACATCATAAGAGCAAACATCACAAGGGACACAAACTGGCTGGTGTAGGCCTGAAATGCCACATGCAGGATAATGAATCACAGTTCCATCTTAAAAACATGGAAATTTTAATTTTTAAATACAGTTGGACCTTAATTAAGTACAAGGCTGGATAGATACTGAAAGGGGGAAAGGGGAAAAGAGACAGAGGAGAAAAGGAACAGAGTAATTTAGTGCGGATAGCAGCCCTAGCCAGTAAGTTCTAGCTGGCCTGTGAGCATCCCTTCTTGACTGCCTGCCCTACAAATTTTGATTTTGCTCACAAAGTTATGTTGCCCAAGCTGCTCTTGAATTCATCAGTTCAAGCGATCCTCCTGAGTAGTTCAAACTACAGGTATTTACCACCATTCCTGGCTACCATGCAAAACTTGAATCCAAAAAATTTTTCCTAGGGACCAGGGAAATAACTCAGTAGAATATGCACTTGCTTGGCAAGTGCAAGGTCCTGAGTTCAATCCCAGTACCACCCAAAAAAAAAAAAAAAATTCCTTCATGTTTGTTGAGCATTTATATTCTCTCTTTTGAGAATAAATGTTGTTTTTCATGCTGGGCTTTTGTCTTTTGGGTTTTGTTAACTGACCTTAAGAAAGCCTCTAATACTGTTTCAAGTACTTTTCCTGAATTGGATTAAAATATTTTTTTATTTAATTTTATGTACTACTTAAGTTTAATCAGCTAAATATTTTTAAATTCTTATATTGTTTTCATCCATTTTATCTCTTACATTTTCCTTCAGTCTATCTGAAATTAATTGTAATGAAAGTATTACTCTTTTTATTTTAAATGGAGCTAATTTTCTCTCCATCTTCTATTGGTCTGTGGCATTTTCTATACTCTGAGTCCTAGGTATACTAGAGTTCTATTGAAGGACTACTGACTTTGTCTCACAGATCTATCATCTCTCTTTTTTTAAAAAAAAAAAAGTCAGTCTTTCCATCCAGAAATATAGCACTTTCACCAATCTGTGCTGGAAATTTAAGTCTATAAAGCAATATGGTTTTTATCCAAAAGTACTTATGGACTCTCTGTGTGTTTCTTAAGTTATCTTGACTTGGTTTTTATAGCCATTGAAAACAGAATTCCCCTCTAGCAGACATCTCCATAACTACTTTTCAAGTAGATAGATTCAGTTTATAAACATTTGCTTTATATACAGCACTTACTGAATGTTTGCTTCTTGGTTTCAAGACAAGATCTCACTAAGTAGTTCAGGCTGGCCTTGAACTTACTACATAATCCAGGTTGGCCTGTAACTCAGAGTAATTGTCATACTTCAGCCTCCCTGAGCACTGGGATCAGAGGTGTGCACCAAATGGCTTCTTTATTTATTCTAAGAAGTCTTTTAGTTAATATTCTTAAGCTTTACAAGTAATCATAACTGCAAAGAATTTATCTTTTTTCCCTTGTTTTATTATCTTTTCTTACTAAACTACACAGAACTTCTACAACAGAGATATCAAACAGTTTTATACAAAGCCAGTGCTAACTTTTTGGTAGTTACAACGAAACACCACACTGACAAAGCATCCAGGATACTTTTTTTACTTCTGTGTCATAATACACATGGATAAAATCCTAGGAAGGCTCTAGAAGAGCAGCTGAGGCTTGCTAAGATGCAAATGCTGAACCTTTCTGTCTTGCAGCTCATTCATTCATTTTTTTTCTGTTACTTATTAGGTTTTCTTTTTCTAACTTTCTGAGCTCAATAATTCATTTTCTCTTTAAAAAGTTTTTTGTGCTATTTTTTGGTTTTTTGAGATAGGGTCTCACTATGTAGTTCAGGCTGGTCTTGAATTCACTATTTAGTTCAGGCTAGCCTTGAATTCATAGCAATCCGCCTGGCTCAGCTTCTTGTATACTTTGGACAAAGGTGTGCACTACCACACACAGCCTAAAAATAAATTTTT